TAATACATTTAATATCTCTAAATAATAACTACTCTTTGGTTCTTAACAATAAATAATATTTTAATATCTTTAGTCTTCTCTTAGGCAAACTTTTATACTTCGTTTCTTTATAATTTTTCTTTATTTTATTTTTTTTTTTTATTTTTATTTTTTTTCATTAAGGTGGCTTACTTTGCTGAGCAGATTTTATTAGTTTAATATATGAGGTCGTCTGTTAACAATCCTCTATAGTTTGTAATTATATGAAGAGTGTACAACCTGCCACATGTACAACTGTAGTTATTGTCTAATTTAAGTAGTCCGCCGTATAGGTAGATCACTTGTTTGGTTCTACATAAGCTGCTATACCTGTAACCCACTTGTAAGTTACCTATTTAAACACTTTGTTTATCTAACTAATACCGGAATTAACTAATGTTATTGTAACATCTAACCACTTAAGCTAGCTAGCTCATTGCAGATCTATTTATCTAACTCAGCTTAGGTCCTCTCGGGATGTATATTGTTAACATATTGTAGCACACAGAGCTCCAATTAACCTTGTAAGCAATCCTACTAGAGCAGTTCATATCTATTTCCTGAATTCACCTAGATTAGACCCTTGCAGATATTCGTACAACCCCAGTTCCTACTGTGGCTCTCCACCAGATTTCTGTGTCTATCTTCTCAGATATTTTATAAAACAGATTCTTCCAATTCAGTTAGCTGCCAAGCCAGGTTGGTATTACTGATTCTCGCTGTGGAACAGATTTATGCGTACCTGACTCAATTAGCATCATTTGATGATAGTTTCTTTTCAGGATTAAACGTTAGCTAGTATAACTGTCGAAAGCCGTTCTACTTCACTAACTCAGGATTTCTACCATGCAGATCCCCTGCTCATAGATCCTATTTAGATTTATTCGTATAATGTTATGCTCTCCAAACATTCTGTCACACTTCCAATATCTGAATGATATTGATACAACATGATTTACAGAGTTACAACCCCAGAAACGGACAGAGTTTACTGTAAGTTAGATACAAAGGTCTAAGTAATTATTCAAATTCGTCAACAGTAGGATTTGAACCCAGACCTCTTGCATAGCAGTCTGACAACCTAACCACTATACTAAGATCACCAGATCTTATAATTTTTCTTTATTATTTTTGGTTTCTTTAGTTTTTGTTATTAGAAATAACATTTTCTTTTTTTTTATTTTTGATTTTATTAATTTTGGTTTTGTTTGTTTACCAATAAATAAACTGGTACCTTGAATAATAACTGTGAAAAACCTTCTGTTATCTAAAAATTTGCAGATTAATAAAGAACTACTCGTAACACTAGAATCACTACTATTCAAAAAATAAACGGAGAAACAGAAAGCAATATAACTAGTCTAGACAACTTCATATACAACTACAAAGTTTTATACCTGATTAGAGGCTACCCTATTGGATTTATTAAGAAGATACTATAGCTCTATTCAAAAACATAACACAAAAAGAAAATTCATCTCACTTCTATATCATACAATAACTTCATTAATCTACAACAAAATTTGGTTACTCTCTAAACAATATATATATATAGAGTTGGCATTACATAAATTACAATTTACTTTACATGTAAATTACATTGTAATTTATGAAATTGTACGTAACTTTTACATTAATTGAAAATTAGCACATGATTATGATGTAACCTTACATTAAGAATGTACTGGCATTATAAAAATTTGACCTAAATATTATTTAAAGTTTTCTTTCTAACACTACTTCTTTTGCTATAATGTGTTAGTTTTTTTTTTTTTTTTAGTAGACTTATTACTTACATTTTTGCATATTACAAGAAAAAAAAAAAAGAATATAGATTTTCACTCAGAATAATTATCGAATTCATGCTCACAGTTGTCGAATATATTAAGATGCCAATTAGAAAAATCAGTAAAGTTTCCATTAAGCTCTTCATTTTCATCATCATCCATATTAATATCAAGTTCTTGATTATCTGAATTAACAGATATTTCTTGTAAATTATTAATTAATACAGATCTTCCCAACTGATAGAGAATTTGTGTATTCCAATAAATATAGACAAGCTTATCTGCTTTTTGAGTAAGCATTCTATTATGCAGTTTTGAATAAATAAATCCATAGGCAGACTAATTACGCTCACTAGCTGCAGAAGTGGCAGAAATTGATAAGACTTTATGTACAACTTGACTTAAAGTTAGATATTGCATGCTTAATAAATTCCACCAATTAAGTAGTTTTGAGGTAAGATTTTCTCATAAATACTTTCTTGTGAAACCACCTGATTTTTCAGTATATTCTGCTAACTCGTCTAATACTTGATTTTCATTATCAACTCCTGCAATTCGAATCACTTCATTATTTATTATATCTGCTCATATTTGGAGATCAAGATCTTCACCACGATACCTAGGATCAAGTATATATGCAACTATAATTGCTGGATTTTATAGAAAATTAACTCATCGATTTCTAGCTACCTGTAATGTATTATCATGAAGTTCTACTAGAATTTGTACGTTATTTATAATTTTTTTTTTTAAATCTTGCAATATTTTATATGCAGAAGAGAGATATGGTTCATTACTCTTTAATTGACATATAAAGATAATAAATGGTTCTAGGAAATCATGAAGTTTTTTAAGATCTGCTCAAAACATATAATCCACAATAATTGCTTTGATATTTTCATCTAATTCAATACCATCTTCAGTTAATATAGCATAAATTACAGCTTGTGTTCGTAAAACATGATCAAGACACTCAAAAGTTGATATCCACCTCGTATCAACAGTTAAAACAAGAGCAATCTCAAAACTGTAAGTTTCTTTTTGTAAATGACGAAGAGTTGCCATAGAAATTTGATGATTACGGAAATACAAAACTAACTCTTTAGTTTTTTTTAAAATTTGTAGAGCCCATCCATTTTTAAGAATATCCTTAACCCAAAAGTTTATTCTGTGAGCCCAACATCTGAGAAAGATCTTGTTTGAATATTTATTTTTTAAAATATTCTACGCAGCTTTTATATTATTTGCATTATCTGTGATTATACAGACAAACTTTTCAATATTAATTTCACGCATTACATTTTCAATTCCTTTAGCTATATTTTCTACGGTATGATGTTCTTCTTTAGTACAAACTAATTTATAAAAAATCGGATTAGGTGTAGTAATCATGTAATTAATTATTGGTGATTTGTTAACATTCGACTACTCATCACTAACCAAACAATGATAAGGTGTTTTATCAAGGGTATTTTGGACAACTACTTGTAGATTCATATATTCTTTATCAAGAAGTGAATTGGAAAAAGTATGATGAGATGGAATATTAAAAGAAGGGCAAGCCTTTTTAAGAAAAGCTTGAAAATCTATATTTTCGATTACATTAAATAAAACTCCTGATATATAAAAGGCATGTGCAAGCAAAGATTCCAATTCAATTTGTTCTTATGAGATAAGATTCGATACTTTTTGTCTTTTATTATTATTTGAAGTTTCATTCAAATTGCGCAAAGCATATGTATTAATATGTTCTTGCAACCGAGTTATATTTTTAGCCCATTTCTTCTTGCATGCTTTATATTTGTAACATTCTTTACCCTTTTCGTTGATTCTTATAGTATATTCATCCTGTATAACTTCGATCTTGTTTCAAGCCATTTTAATTCTGTTATAAAACTTTACATATTTCATTTTTCTTTTATATAAATGATATAAATGATTATAAGCGATACAAATAATATAAGCGATACAAATAATATAAGCGATACAAATAATATAACTATTTTCGTTATATTAACAAATGATATAAATAATTTAATAAACTTTTATTTGTTATAAAATGACGATTTCATTTTATTTGACTATATACAAAGAAAATCTGCTATCGGGCTTTAATTATATTTACAGCCCTATTCAATTAAATATATTAATATCCAGTATGAAAACTCGATGGCAGGTTTTCTCCATATACTAGCATTATGAAAGTTTGGTCGGCATTAATCATATTACAAATTACATGAAAATTGATTTTTGTAAAATTACTTAAATTTACGTAAATTTACGTAAAATTACAGTAATTTGCCAACCCTATACATATAAAACCTTTTTACCAGATCCTGAACTTTTGCAATTACTCATACCAGATAAAACTTCAAATAATCCTCTTACTTTACTTTCTTCT